GTCCCCATGCATGCCAGGCCTTGGATTCTCACCCCAGCTCCCTGCTCGCAGACGCCCCAGCCCAGGGCTGTCGCTCAGCCCAGGAGCAGAAATACCCCAAACCCCAGCTGGGAGGGCACGCAAGCACCATGCCCAGCACACGCCAGCCCAGCAGCACCGCAGGGGCCTCAGCCCAGAGCCACAGGGCTGCAGGAAGCTGCGCGGCGGAGTTCAGGCTTCGCACCTCCTGCCCCCGTCCCACAGAGCATCCCAAAGCCCGTGCTCCACCCCGGCAGCCCCAGGAGTGCCCAGGAACCACTTGGCAGAGCACCATACGTGCAGGCACCTGTGGCAGCACAGCAGTGCAGGCAGCAGCACGTTACTCAGCATGGTGATGAAAGCCACAGCACTCGTGCAATGCACAGGGCAGCTTTTCCACTGCTAGCCTGCAAAGCAGCCGCGAGAGATGCTCACGTTTCAAACAAATAAAGGCAAACACCCTGCTTCAGCTCAGGTTCTCTCTATTTCTACTCTTTTTCCTTCAGCACCTGCTTCTGACAGATGCTCGGCTGCAGCTGAACACCAGCAGCGCCTTTCCCAAGTGCTGTTCCAGGCATCTTTTCCTTACAGGCATTACGCCCCGGATCCTGATCTCTGATCCTCTCTGCTCAATCTCTTTTGCAGCACTGAAGCCTGTGATGCACTGAAGCTGTGACACGTTTCTCCCACTTCCTTCCATTGACAGAAAACAAAAGCACACGCTGTTGCTCAACATGAGCGCAAAAATATTTGCTTTTCCAGATTGTTTCTCCCCTCCCTCCTCATTCGGTGAGGGCTGGCGGTAGAATCCCAGCCTGAATCCCCTCCCAGCTAACAACAGCCGTGGGGAATTTGGGACCAAGGTGGCTCTCAGCTGGTACAGCCCGTGCTGCCTGCCCATCCCAGCAGGAGCACATGCACCATCAGGCACCAAACCCTCAGACCTGCTGCAAGAGACGGTTTCCAGACACGATTCTGCCCACGCAAGTTCAGCAGTTTCTCTGTTCTTTACCATGCGCTGTGCTTCCTTCCTGCCAGACCCCTTATCACCATACCTCGCCCCAAAACCACCAGGGTGAAGCCTCCGCTGCCGCTGGGCTTTTACTCAGCAACCGTAGAAATGCACTGAGCCCACCGCGATGCTGCCAACGAGCGATTCAGAATTAAACATGGGTGTCACATGAAAGCTTAGGCCCTGGTGCCAAGCTTACAGCTCCCGAAAAAGCACTGAATGCATTAACACGCGCAGTCACTTTTTATTTTTAATATATTTTTTTAAAGCAACCAGGGTATCATGTTTAAGGTCCCAAAACCCAGAAGGGCACCAGAATTCTGAGTGTTACTGAGGACATGAAACACTCAGATATCACAGCCCAAGCTAACACCTAGCGAAGACCTCAATCATACCTGCCCACGGTGCTGTCGCCCCAGCGAGCTGCAGAAAGCGCGCTTGGCGTGTTGGGGAGCAGCTACTTGTTTTTTTTTCCTGACTCAAGGCTGGACCAATGGCTGAGTGTGGTCTCAACACCTTCAGTGTGCTCTGCTGCCACTTCTAGCAGCTCTAAGCCCAGCTTCATGCACGCTTGTGGTCATTAAAAATGCACCATGGCATGAAAGCACTTGTTGCAGACAAAAAAAAAAAAAAAAAAAAGTCTTGGCTCGGGGAATGGTTCCTTAATTTAATTTACTGCCCATCAGCAGAAAATCCTCATCACTAATTTGGGCACTGAGAATAAAGAAGATATAAGCAATTAACCTCTTAAACACCATTCTCATCCCTTCCCCAGGCTCAGCCTGAGCCAGACACAGCTCCAGCCCCACTGCTAGGTGCTGCAGCCAGGAGGGACCCCGACCCAAAGCTGTGCAAGACTGTGCCGTGACCGTCCTGTCCCCAAGAGACGGGATGCCAGCACGGAAAGTGAGCCTGACACACTGACCTGAACCACTCGGCTGCACGGAGAAGGATGGAGCAGCCTATAGCGCCCAGCTGTAGACCAGAAATTTAGATTGTCGTTCATTGCGCCCTGCTTCCTCTAGGATTCTTACAGCACAGCATCTGCCAGCATGCTGCTCCTCTGACCAGTACCTCGTACACTTCTTGTCCAAACTCAGCTTGTTGAGAGAGGCTGAGAGCCTGAACTGCTTTTAAGAAGCAGGCGATGGCAATCTTACAATTGTTGCAGCCAACCCTCTGTCTTGAGAAAGGTCCCTTGAGAGCATCCAAGATGCACCGTATTCTAAAACCGTACCCTGTTCGACACCAAGAATCTAGCACCGGACACACACCCCTACCAAAAACAGGCTGCTACACCCTCTTCTCCCCCCAGCAACACGTCTTTGGCTGAAAAAAGCGACAGCAACTACAAATACTTACAAGAAAATGTTATAAAAGGGTATGGAGAGAAGGTCAGAACAAAACAACTTGAATAGCTGCGGCTAAAAATACCCAATCCCCACACCCATTCTACACAGCAAATATTATCAGATGTTACTTCCCAATGTTAAAAACATGCTCGTTTCTTTGTTAATTAAGGCGGTATTGTGAACGCTGGATTTTCTTACCAGGGAACACAACAAAGGCACCTTAGGAAAAAAAAAACAACTTCTTTTGCTGCCTCCAAGATCTCATTTTCTAGGCAATCTAATGCTAACACGCCATCTAAATCTGACACCTGTAGATCTGTATTTTCACACAACCATGGGATGGCTGCGGTGGGAAGGGAGCTCTGGGCCCACCCAGAGCGGGGTGCCTAGGCCCACGTCCAGGCGGCTTTTGGAAATCCCCAAGGAGCCCCCACAGCCTCTGGGCAGCCTGTGCCAGGGCTCCAGCCCCCGCACACAGCTGTGCTGCCAGGGGTTTCCAGGGAACCTCTCATGTCCCACTTTGGGCCCGCTGCCTCTGGGCACCACTGACAGGAGCCTGGCTCCGTCCCCTCAGGTCCTGAGGGCCACCGATGAGCCCCCCCGAGCCGCCTCATCCCCAGGCCAAGCAGGCCCAGCTCTGCCAGCCTCTCCTCACAGGAGGGGAGCTCCAGGCCCTCGGCCACCTGCGTTGGGCCATTTCCAGCAGAATCATCGGGTTGGAGAAAACCTCCAAGATCACCTGGTTCAACCGTTCCCCTACCACCCATGTCACCCACTGCACCACGTCCCCAAGCACCAGGCCCATCCTTTCCTTGAACACCCCCAGGGATGGTGACTCCACCACCTCCCTGGGCAACCCGTCCCAGTGCCTGACTACTCTTTCTGAGCAGAAATGTCTCCTCACTTCCAACCTGAACCTCCCTTGGCACAACTTGAGGCCGTTCCCTCTGGTCCTGTCAGGGGTTATCTGCGAGAAGAGGCCTCTCTCTCATACTGGAGGGCAGAGACCCGGGAGCCCAGAATTTTCTATGAACATGACCTAATGTTGCAAAATAACTTTCTAAAGACAGCAAAGCATCCTAGTCATCCATACCGAGGTGCAGAACACTTGTGCCATGCAGATTTATTTTTATTATTATTTTTATAGCTCAGGGTATCGAGTTGGAGAAGACAGGAAGAAGATCACACTGACAGGCAGCAGTGCAGTGCAGGCACGGGTTCATGCGGGTTTGGACTCGGCTGACCAAGAGCCTGGGGCTGACAGGGCACTGGGAAACCTTCGTTGTGGGCAGACTGAACTGGTGGCTCAGCCTGCTGCCCCAAATATCCCCAGCCCTGAGGTGGTCACTGAGGTTTAGGGGACACCGAGAGCCACACGGCGCTCCTCTCCACGAGCGTTACCCCAGGAAGGTGCGGGTGGTGCCATGCCCACCAGGCACAGCGTGCTCACAGAGACAGGCATTTGTTAGCAAACGCTGCACGTGGCCCTCTGCAACTGCTCGTCAGCTCCACTTGTTTCACAGGGCCCTACGGTGCTATGCCTCGGATACACTGCCTGAATAACAAGCACTTTTTTCTGACACTTCAAGGAATATTTTTAACACCACAGTGTCAACCCTATCCCTTCAGAGCCAAGCAGTCCTGGCTGGTGGCTTTATTGTACCCCCTACGCAGAAACCCCAGGGGCTCCGAGCACACCCCACCTGCACCCCAAAGGCCCTTTTGAAAACACATCTAGGCATCAATGCCAAAGCCTCTCAAAAGGCAGCACACACCGAAAAGCACCACCTGCCATAGCAGAACAGACCAGGGAATGTAAAGACTACGCTTAGTCCTTACAAAAAACAAAACAAGAAGCTGTGTAAATCAGACTCTCAGGTTTGCAGAACTACCAGGGCAAGTAGAATAATTGTGATGCCAGCTGAGTGCATCACAAGTGGGAGTTCTGTACCATTCCTGCACTGAAATGGTCTCTGGCTTGAAGAAATAGCTGGGAATTCCTGCAGGCAGGTGAGGAGAAGCCTGTGCTATCATACAGCAATACTGAAACAAAGCCAGCACGCACAAGGATGCTTTTTCGTCCAGAGATGTAAATGAAGCCCAGTGGTAACCTCTGCCTGGAGGCCTTGTTTAGGTCACGTTCTTACCCATGAACATCGCAGGTGCTGCGCAGAGGAAGGACAGAAAAGCAGCTTAAAAGGTAGGCACGTGGAGGAAAGAAGCCACTCGGTTTGCAGAAGGATGAGAAACAAGTGATGGCAGAAAAAAAAACGGTAGTAACCTTATGCTAACCCTAACCCTTCACATTTCAAAACTCTCATTACAATACCAAAAAAAATAAAGCTAAAAATCTGCCACCTTTGGTGTCCAACCTTGCCCGTTCCCTCTGCCCCAAGCCACACCGTGCACCCACGAGATGCCCATGCCTGCCTTCAAGCTGGGACACGTGGGTTTGCCTGCCCACTGCCACGTTTCCAGACAAGCACCTTGTTTCCCTGCTTTGGGACACGCAACTGTAAACCTGCCCTTTTTGCCTCAAGGCCAGCAAGGAGACACTCAGGAGCAGAGCCTGGGTGGCTGCTGCCCACAGCAGCACAAGAGCACATTGAAGGACTAACCTGAAAAGCGGTGAGCAGTACAACCATGGCTAGGGTTTCACGGCCTTTAAAAGCTTCCTTCAGGAGATGTGCCAGCCAGAGACCAGGGTAAGATGAGAGCGACCCACACCACCTGCTGTAGGACCTCTCGGTGCTCAATTTGGGAGACGGGGACCCCAGTTCGGGTGCAGGACCCCACTCTCAGGCCACCCAGCAGGTCCACAGAGACGTCCTCGCAAGCACACAGCTCCACGGCCGCTACCTCTTCCTCTGCGCACGCAGCCCGGCCAGGCTTGGGGAACTTGCCCACATGATGTCATCCCTGGGCTGGCGTCTAAATAAAGGAAGCTTTTTATAGGATTTCCCACTGACAGACTGAATCCGGTAAGCCCTGATAGCCAAGGCTTCGTCAGGCGGAAGGAAGGAAAAGGGAAAAACAATAACCGCCCCATCTCGGGGCCGGGGCAGGTGGGTGGCGTCTCGGGAAAGAAACCAAAACAAACCCAGATTTACTCCCCAATACCTGCGTGTGGGAGAAGAGGCGCAGGTATGGATATATTAAGGGAGCTCTGCATGGACGCTGCCTGTCAAAAAGCAGCTTGACCTATTCCTGCACCGGCATGGGGAAGAGAAGGATGAAGATGAAGGAGAGAAAAGAACTATGCTAAAAGTTTAAAGATGGGGGATAAAACATACTTTCACACAGAGAGGTTCTCCAGCTTCACATTCACGTGGCAGTTGCTGCGCTTCCTAAAAGCAAGCTGGGGTTCTCTGCTCACTCAGAGGCCCCCTGCTGCAAACACTTCAGTTTCACGTCACCAGCAAGCAGCACTTTCTGGAAACTCTCAAAAAATACTAACGAAAGCAAAACCAGCCAGCAGTTCAGGCGAGTTTATGCAAGCGTGCGTGCCTTCCTCTTCTTCGTAGCTCTCCATCACCCCGGCAGCGCTGCGGAGCAGTTCCCCTTCCTCCCTCCGCTCCTCGCCGCATCTTCAGCCGGGCATCCACACCAGGAGCATTGCGATAGCCAAGTGACTCATGCTGTAGCAATGTGGGTGGGAACGCTCCCATGCCCAGCTCCTAAGGACACAGCCTTTTATGGTGTTTTCAGAGTTGAAGTCGTGGCGGTTCGTAGCACTTCGCTTTTAGTCTTGCACCAGCCTCGGGGAGCAGAGCTCCCCGTGCTCCGGAACCAAAATGAGGAGCTTGTGCACTTTACGAGTGAGCCAGCAGCGGTCTCCATGGATTTCTCCACCTGCAGGATCTTCCTACGGTCCTGCGGGACCATCGGAGGCTGCCACCTGCTCCACGTGGCAGCAGCACAGCTCCATCAGCAGGCTTTTGCCATGCAGCGAGCCGTCACACAGCCCCACCAAGCTCCAGGGCAGCACAAAGACGCAAGTTATTCTGCGGATGCCTTAATTGCTGCAGCCCAATTTTTTTAAGGATTCATTCCCTGCATCCCCGGAGTTATGCCAGCCTCTGGCAGTGCACTAATGACCTCTTCTGCATCTCCGGTGACAAGCCACCGGACAAGAGGAAGCACACGCTGTGCCTACCCTCCTTGGGCTGCCAGCACATGAGAAGCAGACGGGACTGCCAGCAGCTGCCAAAGGCAACCAAGTCCCATCTGTCCTTCCCTCAGGGCGAGCTGTAACCGAGGACTGCAGCTCTACTTAGCCAGCAAGTAGGAAATTAACTCCTTAGTCTTTGGGAAAAGCACCGTGGCAGAAGTGCTGCCCTCCAGGCCCAGGGACCACAGCACGCACAACTTGAACCTGGCAAGGTAACAAAGCCTGCTCAGCTGTGCTATTTCAAAGCTGGCAGTCACAGATTCAAACAACATCCCAAGACATCACCCCACGTGGTTTGAAACAGGAGTCTAGTTGTAAATGTGCAGCAGGTCGCTTTACAGGACAGCTCTCCGCTCTCCTTCTCACATGAAGCATTATCTGCTCTAGAAGAGAAGGGCATGAAAATTTCTGCCTCTTCACGCATCCCCAGTCACAGCTCCCACGAGCAGCAGATTTTAGTCCTTTCACGGCTGTGAAATTCAAGAAGGAACTAAATTATAACCTTCGCATGCACAAAAACTCTAGAAGAAAAGCCATCAGGACTCCAGCCGTCAGCCCTCCTGACGCAAAGCACTGGCATTAAAAATCTCTTTTCCCTCCTTAAATGCCAGGGAGCTGTGGAAGCAGTCAGCTTACCGGTGGGAGCAGATGAGCTGCAGGCCGCCCCGCAGGCGGATCTCAACGTGGGCACGGCAGGGGGAAGATGCAGGGGAACAGGGGCATGCTGCTGCGGAGCAAGGTCTCGGGTACCCCAGCCAAAGAGGAGGCACGCTCCAGCGAGCGTACAGCCAGCCAGCTACGTACCTTGGAGGCTGGCCAGGAAGGCAAAGCCTCTAAACAGCAGCAGAACTTGTGACAAACCCCTCCAGCCTTACAGATGAGTTTAGAGAGCCTCGGCTGACTCGGCACAGCGCCCTCAGCTTGGCAACCCACAGCATCGGCCGAGTGCGGCGCTGCGAAGTGCCCCGGCACCAGGCTGCGGGGCCGGCACGCAGCCCGCCCTCGCCCACGCGAGCGGTGCCCCTGGGATCCTGCGAACACGAGCACATCTCTGCCCCTCGCTGCTCAAATCCGGGAGGTATTTTTTGAACTCGCACGTGGCCAGCGGACGCTGCCATTCGCAACGCTTCACGCCAGGGATGATTCCTCCTCCCGTAACCGAGCGAGCCATCCCGCAGCTGCTGCCTTTAACCCCTCCGAGGGGACAGGCACAGCTCCCCAGATGGACCCAGCCAGGTTTTTTCCCCCCCTCTCCAAGCAGATTAAATACGTTTCCAAGTTCAGGGAGTCTGCCTGATGGCAGGTAATGGGTAGAGATTGCAGAATTAAGTTTCAATAAAAGGGTCACGTGGAAGGCTCCTTCCTGCTCAGAGGAACACAATGAATTTCCTGCAGCCTTCGGTGGCTACCATTAAAAGCAGAGCCTTGCCACAGGGATCACATCGTGCCCAATTAGCGCCCAGGCTGACTTCTAAGCCCCGCAGAGCCAGCTCAGGCACAGCAAAGCAAAATGAGCTGCCTTGCCTCATTTCTCATGGAAATGCGAAGTACTCCCAGCAGGGGCTGTGTAAGAGGCAAGGCAAGCTACTCGACTCTTGTTCCCCTTTATTTGGGCAGCCATTATCAAATTTGACTCTAAAAACCAAAATCAGTAAGAACAAATGCAGAACAGCAGTAAAGGAAGCAACAAGCCAAAAGCTTTCTCAGTCAGAAAACGGGCACATCCCAGACTAGTCTCAGGTCCCGGTGTCCCCATGTCCCCCAGCAGGCAGGTGGCTCTGCCTTAACCCTTCTGCTCTCCGGGAGGCAGCCGTGCCCGTCACCCCCTGGGAAGGTGCCACTGTGACACGGGCAGACCCCACGGCCCCGCTGAACACTACACCTGCTTCTAGAATCATTTTGATGCTCTCACCCACGAACGAGCAAGCTTTCCAAGCCAGTGGGGTTCTTTGCAACCCTAAAAGCCTCAGACACCGATTCCTACAGAGCAAAACCCTTCCTTAATGCAGACACGGGGCAAGAGCCCAGGCAGGGGCTTACCACAGCAGCTGGCTGGAGGAGGCAGCCCTGCCTCCACTGAAATTAAGGGGAATGTTGTTAATGAACATACAGTGAAACTCAGATTTTGACTGCTCTGCACAACAGGGAGAGCAAAGAGCATTTGCCCAACAGGCTGAGGTTCTCTGAAACTCCCAGGCTGGCTCCTCAGGAGTTTGTGTTTCTTTTTTCCCTCCTCTCACAGGCCTGCAGACAGGAGGTGCAGGCAGCAGCCCCCGAGGCAACCTGCAGAGCCCCGTGGGATGGGAAGGAAGCTCTTCACCAGCATCCCTGCTACATGAGGAGCAAGGCACAGGCCCGTGGCACAATGAATGCTTCAGGCAAGCACCGCAGGGTGCGGGGATCAAGCGGAGAGAAGCGTCCTGCCACAGGCAGGCTGAACGGGCTGTTCCCTCCATCGTGCCTTTGCGGCCTCACAGCCTTCACCTGGCACCACGCAGCCACCTCAGCCAGTGCGGGAAGTAATGGCCTCTGTCATTAATTACCAAGTGCCACTTGGCAATTAATCTCAGGAGCTTGCACGCCGAGCGAGCCCAGGCAGACTCACCTCATCCAGAGCCGCCAGCAGGCGGATCCGCTCGGCTACGGCCGCTCTGCAAATCATCGGGTGACTGGAAGCTTCAGAAACCTCGCCAAATAAATAAAACAACCCTCGGCAGGGCAGGTTCCCCCCGACAAGTAATTTTTCCCCCCCATGGCACGCGGCACGGGGAGAGGCGGCGTGAGTCAGCCCGCCTTGGCAGCACGTCCAGCCAGGAAGGGCAGGACGCGTCGCCACGCCGGCACACGGGGAACACCCTCCAGACCGCGCTGTTTGCCCTGGGGAAGCCAACGCAGGCCCGACACAAAGCCTGTGAGTGCATGTTAGCCTCAGAAGTCATCCGAAACAGGTCCCCTCTCCCCTCCCACTCCATCAATCTGGCCCAAATTGGGTCAGCTCCAAACAATAACTGAATGCCATCCATTTAAGCCTCTGATGCAGTGCTGACATAATCCACGTCCTTTCATTCTCCTTCGCACTGCGAGTGCTGAAGATGCTTTTGTACAACCCCTGAAGTGCTCCATTTAAAAACCACGGTAACTAGGGCATCGCCTTCAGCTGCTCTTGAGAAAAAGCCATTCCCCTTTCCCCTCAACAGGCTCTTGGAAGGCTCGGGGGCAGACAGAAAAGCATCGCCCGAGTCAGACCGCTCGACCACGGTGGCCGGCATCGGGCTGCAGCTGGGCATCACTCACAAAGCGATGGGGGTGAGCTCGGCCCTCCAAAAACCTGGGGGACACTCATCTCTGCGGCATGACAGCGTGGCAGATGGAGACAGAGAACTCCTCCTGGGTCCTGCAGCTGAGGAACACCCAAACGTCCCACCCGGAGCCACCACACGTCTGACAGCCCAGCTGCAGCATTAGATAGGCAAATCATCCAGCTTGCTCCGAAAACTGCAGTGCTGCTGCTACAAGAAGGGCAGAGTTTGTGTAAGTTGTCCTGTTCTGGTATTTTAGCGCGACAAGCGGCTAAGCAGCCCTGTTATCTTTACGCTGCAGTAAAAGTTGAAGGGGTTTTGGTGGGGTTTTTCTTGCTAGCCACAGCTCTGAGGTGTTAAAAACGCTTCTGTGCTTCAGAATTTGGAAGCTTGTCTGCTGGCACCGCCGTCCTCCTTTCTGAAATGGAAACGTTCAGACGTGTGGGCACAGAGATCGGATGGAAAGAACGGGGCCACTGAAAGAGGCCATTAAATGGGAAAAAGCGAAGTGAAGAGGCCCTCTCAAAAAAGGGACGTTTGTCAAAGATGGAAGGCCCGCTGTTTGTTTTCCTTTAAAAAGAAAAACATTCATAGCTCTGCGCTCATTAAAGAAGTCATACACGCCAGCAAGCCTAACGGCTTAAACATGACCTAAGCGCTGCACTCCCCCTCGTATGACATTTTAACAGCCTTTTTTCCAAATTCCACTACACACTGCTCTACGGAGCCACATTCCAAGATTTTAAAGGTTTTAAAAATAGAAGGGCTTTAATCCCAACGTCTGCAAAAATACCCTGCAAAAAAAAAAAAAAAAATTGGAGAAGCATGAAAAACAAAGTCTATCCTGTGAGGTAGGCTGCGCCACAAATGATGCCCAGAAAGACGCTTTGTGCTTGTCTGAAGGAGCTGAGCCAGGTTCAGCCTGGCTCCTGCTTACATTCGGTGTGTTTTGAGCCCCTGCAAATTGATTTGGGGTTGGAATTTACACCCAGTTGATGGAGATGCAAGCTCGTTGGAAGAGGGGCAGTTTAATGCCTGGCCTTAAAGAAAAGCCTCGCAAATGGGGCAATTGAGGCATGTAATGCTTAGCTGATTCCCCACGCGATCAGATGAAATGAAGTCTCACCTCCTGAGCAGAGAC